ATGAATGTAATCGTTACCCAACCAAAACTCGCCATTCAGGTTTCCAAAACCTGTTTTATAYTGCTGCCAATTGCGATAGAAATCAACCGTTCCATCTTGTCTTCTTTGGAACACAGTCCAACCCCCACCGTCAGTTGTCATGTCACAGTAGACTTGAAATGCAGGCTGCTTGTCGGGTTGAACTGTGTACACACCGTTATGTCTCTCTCCTGATTTGTAAAGCTCACCGCAATCATTTAAAGGCAGAGTTAATGTCGTACTTACACGTGAATGAGAAACACCAGCACTCGTAGCAGTGCACACAAACAAACCCGAATCTGTTTTCTTGAAGTTCCTTATAATCAAAGAGCCATCTCTCATTTCATATCTACCAACATGAAGAAGACCGTTTTCTTTTCTCCAACTGATGACAGGCTGAGGGTCACCTTTAGCGGTACAGTTCAACACTACAGTTGACCCTAGAGGTGATCTGTGTGACGATGGAGGTTTGACAACAAACACAGGCAGGTCGACAACATTTAACACAATAGTTCCAACAACAGAACCAAGAAGATTTTCAGCTTTGCAAACATACGTCCCTGAATCATCTTTTTTCGCTCTTAGTATTGTTAAATGTTCATCTTTGACAAGAGAACGACTATTGGACAAAGAACCAATAGCTTTGAACCACGTGACTTTTGGCTCAGGTAATCCRTTGACATGACACGTTGGTAGACGAATGTCATCACCAATCTTTCTGTAGATTGTTCTTTTGTTCAAGGTCAGTCTTGGGCGGAAGTTTACTTGGAGTTTCGCTGTTGTTTGTGTGCTGCCAAGAAGATTAGAAGCCTTACACTGATAGATTCCAGAGTCATTGGCAGTCACGTGTTTGATATCAAGTTTACCAGTGTTGTCAACTACTGCTCGTTTGTGTGGTAATGTACCACTGTTTTTACTCCACACAACATCAGGTCGAGGATAACCACTAGACGAACAATGTAAGATGGCGGACTGGCTTTCATTGACGATGAGATGTGTTGGTGAAATGAGTAGTGTTGGACGTGCTAAGGAAGGACCACGATCTCCCTTTGGTCCMTTTGGTCCAGGCATTCCTCTGGGACCAGGAAGTCCTATTTTTCCAGGAAAACCACGTGGTCCTCTCTTTCCTCGACGTCCAGTTTTACCCATGCGTCCTCTCGGTCCTTTTGGACCAGATTTTCCTTGTGGACCGGGAGGTCCTGGAACGGGAATCCAGAATTTGGCAGATTGTAAATTGGCAACTGCTTTACCGATCTTTTGGTCAATTTTCTTTGATAATAAATCATCATTAATGCTGTTGTTGACTACAGTTGTAACATCTCTTACTTTTCTTGTAAAATCTTCTTTCGTTTTCTTTGTTTCTTGYTTCTCAAATGTTCGCTTTGAATAATGATTTTTGAGTCGATTCACGCCATCGTTCATGTCGTGTTTTGTAGTCATYTTGCTTGGCAGCTTGATGTCTCTTGAATACAGCTCGTTTAGCATCAATTCTGTTCTTAAAAACACACCACAGCACAACAACAAACTGACGACCGATAGAGTGATGGCAATYTTGGACACCAAGCAGGAATGACTGATTTTATCTGCCATATTTTAGTCAATAGAACAGCAAACAGGAAGACTGACGCAGTGAAAATGACCCAGTGTCACTATTTGTCTGTCATATCATACTTCAGTGCGTGTTTAGGCATGCTATGGTATCGTTTTCTTTGATACAAAAATAACTGACCTGGATGTCACGTGATGTTACATTACATTACAATTACACTAATATATTTTCGATATTCAATGTTATCACTGTCAGTCTGAGAACAGGAATAAGTAGGAAGTGACGATTTTCAAGCTAAATTTCACTAATTATAACAGAGTCACAGCAAAGAGGATGACATCTAATTAAAATAAAATTAGAAATTTCGTAACCCTTTCATTTAAGACCCGATGTCATGTGGTTTGGAATTGTCAGCGGTTAATACATGCAGAAATCAGGGACATTTTGCTCCCGTGTTATTTTTGGTCTCCGGTTTCAATATGTTTAAATCAGTATACAAATTGGTGTGAATTTCCACAATTTCACACAAGCAAACACGGCGGTGGAGCTTTCTTTCAGAATTGAGGGAGTAGATTATCAGCTTTAAATTCAATTTCTTCAACGGACAATGAACCGAGAAATTTGTGAACAATAAAGAAAAACTACAAACAAGGGTCAAAGATGTATCAAGTTGAATCAAATGATCGGACATCTTCGAGTTTGTAACAACAAAGAATCATAACAAATATAAACATCTTTGAATTTTCGCACGAAAACGTTAGTCTACAATCTTGTAAGTCAGTAGTTTAACCCATGATCGTGCCATAAAAAAATATGCTGAAGTACAAGGAAATATAAAGAGTCGTTTGTCAATTATAATCACTTTTCGTTGAACAAATTCACACACCTTCAAAGGTAAAAATCAAGTTTCAACATTGTTTTAATCGGTAGTGCTACGAGAACAACCCATTTTTGAAATTCTACAAATATTTCAAACATGTCATATTTAGATTAGAAACTTAACATGGAAAATTTTTTCCTGGGAGTAATCTACNAGTTTAAAATACACTTTCGTAAATTATTCTCTCTTGATGTTAAGAATATTGAAATAGTTCGAGGAGCGCCAACCGTTAAGAACAATTTGTTGGTAATAAAAATGGGAACAACCAAACAAGATACCAATAGCGGAAACTTCTTTTCTAAACAAACTGTTTGATGTCACAATTAAGAATTCGAGTTGAGTAATTGGTGTTCAGACTTCAACGGAAGTTAGAGGAGTTTTACTTGGCTAATGACAGCCCTTACATTGTATCACTGCYGAACTCAATTACCTCACGGCGATTTTATAGCTTTATTTATGGACTATAAAACAGAGGAGGCCGTTTATGTTATTCTGTCGATGAAATAGTAATTGGGCAGCATGTGAGATGGTTTTTCAGGACTAAATAATCCAAAGGGCGTTGGAACCGTGTTTGAATGCATGCAACAGCCACAACTCAAAATAACAGATTTGTTTTCAGAAGAAAATTCGTTACCGTCGGCTTTTCTATAAAAAAAGGTACGCCAAACAGCATTATAAATAATTCTTTATATAGTACTWTAATATAAATGTCTTTCTATAACAGGTTTTAATTATAGGCCATTTTAAATGGAGTAGTTTTCCTTCAAATATCAAGAAAGGGCAAAAAAAGAGTTAATAATTTAGCTCCTTTAGCACAAAATGTCCCCGCTAGGGGCTGATTTGACTTTTTACATTTAGGGCCGTTTTGGGTATTTGCACGAATCAGCTCAAGCTAATTTTTTTTATTTCATTTACTATCAACTATTACAAGATAGGTAGTCATTTTCTTTTCATCAAGCTAAAAATTTTMTTTTGTTCACTATCGACAAGCAAAAATAGGTAGCATTTTCTTTTCTTTTCTTTTTCTATTTTGAAAAGAGCTACACTCGCATGGAGAAAACAGTAGCTGCGGACTGGATTCGGAAATACAATATCCGAAGTTTATTTAACAAATAAATAAGGCTCAAATAAATAAGGCTCAGCTCGCTTTCAGCTCGTGCTTCTTGATATTTTCTCGTGTGTTTCAAATGCCAAGCGTGCGTTTATCAGAGTATAAACCACAGGCTGAGACTTATTTATTTGTTTTATTATATAGATTTTGAGCAAAACTTCAGCAAAAATCCATTTTGTTGCCTTTTTCAAAAATCGTTCGCGCACAATCGTGCTTTATACTCTCATAAACCACACTTTTTTGGCCAATCAGAGCGCGCGTTAGAAATCATCTATATAATAAAACTTGCTAGCTTTTACAACATTAAATGCAAAAGAATCATTACATTTTGGGAATAGTTTAAAGCAATCATATTTTCAAAACATGCGCCCCAAAAAGCGTACAAGTGGACAAATTTTTATGTATTATAACGCGAATTGATGAGCATATTTGAATTTTCTCGAATTTCATACACCTGCAGTAGTTTGTGTACACTCAATGATGTTTAAAAGCTTTTAGAGTCAATTTCGGCCAGCAGTAATTAACATTAATTGACATTGAATTTCCTCGTGCAGTAGCATCAGGATAAACTCTTTGCTCAAGGCCAATTGCAAGTACAAACCATTTAGCTTACTTGTATTTTACACTCAGTACTTAGTTAATAATCTAATTGAGTTCTCTGCATTGATGAATCTAGGAACTACAGTCTAGCACTTTTTAKCTAAGACAATGATTAAGTCTTATTAACCGAATTTGTCTTTTTTAACATGATTTTGGCCACTAGAAATAGCGTCAAGTTGAATTTCTGTGTTATTGTTTGTGTTTTTGGTATGATTTTACGTGCTAAGTCAAGTAACAATATCCAAAATTTCAAAACATCACGTGTTGAGCATCGCGAGCGGTCTACCTAAAGGCCCGTTTTCGAACATGCTTGAAAATTGGCTGCAACAGCTTCGAGGCGATTTTCCGTCGTCGCAACAATCACAGGGCTGTTTACACGTACGATTTTAGTTGCGCGATAGCAAAGTGGCGATTATCGCGCTGCAAAAATCGCAAGTGTAAAAGGACCTTAAGAGAATCTTGTAGACCAGAGAAAAATCGACATCAACCAATCAGATCGCTCCATTTACTCGTATCCAGGTTCCGATATACACGGTCATAAAATAATCATTTGTTATTCTAATCGTTTTAAATAATATAAAGAACCAGTTTGATTACGAGTTATYAACATCACAATTTATCAATAATAGAATGGGATAAATACTATTAGCTTGTGAACATGGTCGCTTGAAGATACGAATTTTATCTTTAAAATTACTCACTCGTTCGCTTGACGCTCACTCCTGAGGCACACATAGAATACGACGAAGGATTAACGTCCAAAACGTCAGAAAGTTATTTCACCTACTTTTCTACGTTGTTAAATTTATCTTTTTATACAACTGTTTCTTTAGAACCACCGACGCAGCTCACACTAGTTTAAGGCTAGTTCCCACCATTACGACAGAATATACTGGTGAAACCACAACTCGCCCCAGGTATGATTGCAACTAAGCTACATAAGCTTGAATAACGGTTTGCAAATCCTACTTAACGCTTTGCCTTGAGAGCATCATAAACAATAGYTCACTGAAAGTCAAATACAGTTTGTTAATAAGAAACGAGTTTTTTTTTCTCGACAAGAATTAGTCCTCGAAGACAAATGTATACAAGTGAATTTCGCTTTTCTGAAACAGTTTTCAGATAGATAGGTATAATAATATCGCTCTTTTCCTGARGTACACGCGTTAAAGTGCTCATGAAGCGGATTTTTTATTTTGAAWTAGAAGCAATAAAACAAGAATAACAGCTTGGCTATTCACTAACTGGATGCAGGCTTCAAATTTCAGAAAAAAATGGAGTTAAAAATCCATTATGCTAATTTGATGACGTCACGACTGACGATGTGCTCTATCAATTTTTTTTTATTACAAGTGCTGTTAAATTTACCCCTCCAAAATTGTTAAAGATTGTTTTTGGTAACCCCAAAAATATTTCTTTCAAAATAATAAGGTGAAAATAAACAATCCTGAAATTTTGTATAATCAATGACMACATCATGTGACATTATCAAATTAGCATAACGGATTTTTAACTCCAATTTTCTCTTTGATGCCTGCATCCAGTGACACTTTAGTAAGCAGTAATTCTCTTCACATTGATTCTTTTTAAGAAATAAACAAATTAGCTTCATAAGCACTTTAACGATTCCTGAGAATCCAGGGGATAACTTTATCCACTTAAAAAAAAAATCTATATTTTTTTACATTTAAGATATTGCATTAGGCTCCACAGCAGACATTTTTTAACGATTCGATTATCCAGGAGATAAAACGAACCGCTAAAAATGTCTGCTGCGGAGGCGAATATTGCGTGCTGTCGGGGAATAAGTTTTTAAACGCCATTAGCTAAAAGTTATGGACTTTGATGGTTAGACGATCAATTAAAAAGAAACACTTAAGATGTTCAAATAAAAAAAATAGAAATCTTCCCGTTTTATAAAATAAAATAAACTGAGTGTTTGCAACAGTGCTCAACACGTTTAGTGATAAAATYAAATCGCCAAACACTTTTTACATGTCAAAATAAACATTTGAATAGGTTTTCATTAACAAGTGAAATGCTATTTCTTGTACTACACTTTATTGCTCTTTATTTTGCGTGCTTTTCTTTGTCTTTTCAGTGTTTCACGCATTATTACACTTTGACTATTACTGATTGCTTGTTTCACGGGTTTATGGAAGACAATCTACCAATTTAAGTAGATATAAAAGCAGTAGTCATTTTCTTTTCACGGTCGAARCGAAATCACTCCAACACGGTCTAGGAATGCTTTGTTCTGGCGTTGGAGCAATATCCCAGGCTATGGTGTGAGCAATGGATTATTAGCACTTCGTTAAATGGAGCTATTTCTATCTTTATCAGTTCACCAAATGAGTACTTAAAGATTAGTTGAGCAAKTTAAATACCTTATAAATAGAGATTACTAAACCTATTTTCGGGGATTATTAGAAATAGTAAAAATGCTACTCAAAAGTTCACCATTTCGGCTTATTTGAATGCTAACTCAACGGTCAGATTCGACGGTCAACAGGCGCACATTTTGATTTTCAATCACAGTTTCCTTGTTATTCTTCATTAACAAGTTTGCAAAACGAAACGWTTTTAATATGAAAAACATCATGAAACGTCGGGGTGACAGAAGAATTCGGCTTATTCATCAATTTGGGACTAATTGACATGTTTATTGAACTTTCAAAAGGAAAACATTTCAAACAGACAATGTTGATTCAWAAGCYATATTGAATCGCATCTTACAATGGCCCCCAAACCGCGCTATGACGTCAATATACAAGATTTCACTAATTAAGTAGCCTCGTCTCAGAAGACTGGGCCATACAACTTCGGAAGCATATATRCCTGTACAATTTCCATGACCTGTTGGTCATCAGATCCAATAATTCGTAATATCTCTTCACGGCATGATATATATTTTTATTATTCTTTAATTTAMTAAAGAATAGAGTCAACGAGCCGTTCAGGCTTTCATATGTAAATAAATTAGTTAACAATGAGGGGGGTTTTTATCATATTTTGGCAATAAGATGTTGTTSTCAACAATTACAGAGTATCGTGCGTCGAAGTAGCGTTGTTTTTGTTCTGTTGTTAACTGTGAAGGAATACCTCCGCAGAATTTCCTATTCAAGTAGCTAGAATGATAAGAAAATAGTTCTATTTTTATTTCCATAGACGTGACAACAACATGATGTTCACAAGAAATRTTTGGTTTGGTACTCTTCTTATTGTTGGTAGTCTTGTGTCGTCTCATTCTGTAWTGAGTGATAGTCGAGTGTTGGAAACCACACAASACGCAACAACTGAAGTCAAGACGCTTGTGGATTCTAAACCAAAGCTACAWCTATCAWATGAGCATCGCATATTCTTGAGTCAGTTAGCTCATGATGAGAAACAACMAGATRAAGAAGTTAAAAACAAMGCTGAAACATTTAAGGACAACATGCCACTAGCAKGGAAAAAATCGCCACAAATCATATTYCATCGCAGTGAAATCCAAAGTCGTTTCAAAATACGTGAGCGCCGAGGAGATCCCGAACCAAATCCGGAATCAGAGAAGTCCTCTTCAGAGCCCGAAGGGACCTCAGAGCCAGAGACGAATCCGAACTCAACTTCAGAACCSGAACCAGAGCCGGAGATGTGGCCAGAGCCGGAGCCCGACTGGGAAACAGCACCAGAAGTRTGGAAAGCAGCTTGGCCCATCCACGTGTATGGATTTGGTTCTATCTTATTGGTATTAGCAATGATATCACTGTTTGAACTTGTGCAAATTCACGTCAGAAGTCGACGCAAAACGGCTTTAAAAGTCAGTTTACTAATAATGATTTTTGTATTCTGTGGGACAAGATGTGTTGCTTTATTCATTGATCCTTATGGTTCTACTGGAAAAGTGAATCCAATAGCAGCAAGAATCTTGTTTTCTATTGGCCAACCTTGTATTATTTCGTCAATGAGCCTCTTGCTGTTGGTCTTGATTGACACCACTAAAATGAACATAGCTCCGCCCACTTTTCAACGAGTCCAGGTGATCATTGCGGTCGTCGTGTGTCACGTGATTTTAGTTCTCACCACTGACATCGTGGTCGCGTTTTACGTGAAAACAAAAATCTTAATATTGATCTGTCAAATCTACTTTCTTATAACGGGATCGATATTAACAATAGGGTATGCTAGAGTAGGGTTCAAAATCGCCAAGAATTCATCCGCTTGCACGACGCGAGACACCAAGATGGAAAAATTGAAAATACTTATTATGGTAGCTTCGGCCACAGGACTTATCACCGTCATTCTAACCATCTATGGGGCCGCAGGGGTGTTTGGGATATACTCTGACGTCATGGTGGTAGAGGCGTGGCCTTGGTGGTCGTTTCAAACCATTGGTCGAACTCTAGAGATTGTMATGGTGATTRTTCTGCTGCTTATGAATATTAATGTCAGCGGTTCTGGTCGCGGRATAAAGCAATTATGCATWAATKGYTGTAATAGAGTTTTCTACAAAAACAAAGTTCATTCCGAGCGAAGGTTACACGTGAGTTCTGCAATAAACACAAACAGTTGGATGTCGTAACAAACGTCAAAAGACGCCAAAAAGAAGTCAATCGACGAGAAAACCAGCTTTTAACTAGTGTGAACTGCGTCGGTTTTACATCGGAGCTGTGTCGATGACGTCGATATAATATCGGAAATACATCGGTAAAACATCGGAAAACCGTCGGAAAAAATGCATGAAAAACAGTGCATGAAACGCCGAGTGAACACCGAYCTCGGTTTCATTATTGCGACGATTGGATTTGTGGGAAATATCAAATATCAAGGGATTCGCATGCGGAGGAACTTAATCATCAGAATCCAGACGTCCTCACTGAGTGTGAGGTATAATCAATAATAAATAACAAATTAAAAATATATAAACTGTATTAAGAATTTCTTCGTACACAGGCATATTATTATTAATACTTGTTGAGTCTTCTGTGCAAAATTGATTTATTTAAACCAAGCGTTCGGCTTAAGCAGCCATTTTCAAGGTTGAAAGATCATCACGTGTAGTACACCCTTAAAAATGGCTGCTTAGGCCGAAAGCTTGGTTAAAATATATCAATTTTGCACAGACCCAACAAGTATTAATAATATATACTGTTTATTTATACTGTTTTATCTAATTGTATGAGGAAGTAGCTGATCCCATTAAAGAGTGCTCAATACACATAAAGTGTAGAGCTGGTTATATATATAATATCAAAGAGGCAAGATTTTGCTGTAACTCCGAGTTTCGTGCTACGCACTCATCAGATAGTATTTATCTATATATGTTATACAATGATAGATTAAATTAAAATGTATAMTCTAATTTTATGCAATCATAATGTCATAGCTATTGATAATAATGATATCTATTAATTATTAATTAATTATTGATTATATAGAGGATATTATCGAGAAGGTTTTGTCGTACGACTTCCATATATGGTTGTGCATGTACAGCGCTGATGTGCTCGTAGAAGTCTCTGATGTCCCAATTACGTGGAGAAGAACTTAGAAAATTTCAAACACTTAAACTTAAACCGAAAAGAAATTCGAACCAGCGCTATGCATTGCCTAAACCAATATATTCCCTAAACCTAACCATTAAGCCACGAGACCAATTCGCTTGAGTGAACCTGAATTTTTGTGATATTTATGCAACGGCATGCATGAATAACCACGCATATATACATAAGATTGAATATAATTGTATGAGGAAGTGGCTGATCCCATTAAAGAGTGCTCAATACACATAAAGTGTAGAGCTAGTTATATACACCCTTTTAATAAGTCCCGAGGTATTGTTTTCTCCGCACTTGACGTCAAATTTATTCTTTTGAAAATTTTACAACACAAAAGGAATTCAAAAGAATAAATTTGACGTCAAGTGCGGAGAACACAAAACCTCGGGACTTATTAAAAGGGTGTATATATAATATCAAAGAGGCAAGATTTTGCTGTTACTCCGAGTTTCGTGCTACGCACTCATCAGATCATTAAATACTGTCTGATGAGCGCGTAGCACGAAACTCGGATTAACAGCAAAATCTTGCCTCTTTGATATTATATATATAAGATTGAATATATAATTAATGAACCATCTATAGGGACATGAGAGCCTTCTACAGGTACATTAGAGCCATGCATATGGACATCCATATATGGAAGTCGTACGACAACCTCTACTCATATTATCTGGACGCGCGGTGATACGGATTTTATCTTCGAGTACTGAAAAGAGAGATTGTTGAGAAATTTTCAACACGAGAAGATAAAATTTGTAATATCCTCTATTTTGCCATATAGATCTCATAAGTGTCGAGAACTCTTACAAATATTTAAGAATCATTCTCAATKCAGTAAAGTTTGTTGAATACCAAAAGTAAAGTTGAAACCATTCATTTGAATTGATTTTCTGCAATTAGCTGATGACTGTGAAGAACTTGGTGATGAGCTCATAAAACGCTGACCCGAAGGTACGCTGAGAGAGTTCGGGGAGCGTTTTTTGATGATTCATTATCGAGAAAGAAGCTAATGGTTCTCTATGTCTTCCTAAAAAACGCACTCGTGAATTGCTCTAAGAAACATACCAGGAGCGAATATTTAACAATTAGACCTCGAGGTCGAGTGGACTACGAGCTAATAGCCCATGAGGCCGAGTCCGCGAGGCCGAATGGGCTATTAGCTCGTAGTCCACGAGGCCGAGAGGTCTAATTGTTTTAGTATAAACATACTAATCGGTCAAACTATGAAAACAAATTGAAATATCCTTAAAATAATTTAAAATTTATAATTTATTTATTTTGATTTTCCAGCGAGTGGTCTATCACAAATTAGACCATTAGTAGAGTAGCCAATCACAGCGCAGTATGAGTGATAGACCATTAGTAGAGTAGCCAATCACAGCGCAGTATGAGTGATAGACCATTAGTATGTTTATACTAAACTGCAATAGCTCAAAGMAGCGAGTCTACTGCGACATGGGATAGACCAAAGCACAAACTGAGCCATGTTGCTGCTGTGTTTCTATCGTGTTTCAGTATAAAAGTATAAATTATTCCCTAGACAGGTCCCGCTTAGGGTGATATGATGAGAATTCCCACCAATTGAGTTTTTAAGACAAAGGCGTAAGAAAACAAACCCCAAAGAGCAGCTGGGTTTGATAWTGACATCGAGAAACCGAACTAAGAGGTTATTGATTGTCCCTTTGTAATCTCTACACTGCCACACCCATCATCGCACCACTTAGATCCCTTTTAGGGTTCTCTTTCAGTATCACTGGAAAAAATCGCGCATATTAAAGGTTGCAAATTTGATGTAAATATGTGTGTCCAAAAAGATGCAAATTTGATGTAAATCATTTCAAATTTACATCAAATTTATATCATTTTGGACACCTACATCATTTTTACATCAAATTTACAACCTTTAAAGTGCACGATTTTTTCCAGTGAATTTCCGACAAGGACCCCCGGCGGCCCCATTTTATAAGAGAGTTATCGTGGCGTACTGTATTAAATACTTACAGTCCTTACTCAAAAATACTGTTATCTTTGTTGTTACATCATTGGTTTTGCGTACTTTACCTGTCGTAATTCGGTAGATTTGGATTATACAGTCTTGATTCTTTTAGAAGTTCAAATATCCTGTCTTTATACTGAAAAACGATATAAAAAAGCATTTTTTACCTAAGAACTTTGAGTATTATAAATAGGCAATGCACAGCGACAYCATTTTGTGCAACAAAGCATATCTTGCATAGCAGTTCAGGTATGACTCTCTTTTTTGCCCACTCAATAGTCGTTCTCTCTCCGATTATTTGGGAGGGGTGAGAAACATGTACACACGCTACCCACTCTGGGACTACATAAGAGCACCCCCTAAGGACCAGCCTTTTTATGTAAGCAGGTTACAAGGTAAAGGAGTTTCTGCCCATTCCTTTTTATTTTGCGCAACTCATTTCTCACGAGAAATGAAGTTTCCAAAGGCCTATATTGACCAATRCAAGACACTTCTATAAGCGGATTGAAATTGTAGCAGAGTTCCATGCTACAAAATATTCAAATTGGTTGGCATAATTTTATATTCAAATTTTGCACATTCCATTTTTTAGTATTTTAAGTAATGCCCCGAGTAAGAACTAGGGAAGCAAACGGCAAAGGAATGGAAGAAGGTGCTAATTGTGCATTGTATAATCCATCCATCCCATTGGTTAAAACATGAAAATCTGCTATAGTTTTACAAGTTAGCGCAATTTGATGTCTGTTTTCACTTTCATGAAAGCTTTCTTTAGCTTTAATATTAAGGCAATTCTATGTGGGGAACATCGCAAATTAAAAGCATCTTGTGGCTATTGTTTAGAGTGCTTATGATTGGATAAGAGCTTTTAATACAAAAGAAACTTTGTTTCAAAATAGAGTTTATCCAAATTTATTTCAAAAACGTGTTACCCATAGGTTGATATATAATCAGTGTGAAAACCAAGACATTCGTACGTGGGAAAGTTGCAATGCCGCAGAACAATAGAGAGTTCCCTAGTTCTTAAGCGCATTGTTACTTAAAAGCGTAAAGATGTCAGATTTTTAAAATTGAGAAGTAGTTTATAACGGACAAATTGAATATTTCGGAGTATGGAACTCAATAAGTGTTGGCCAATCCCCAAAGTATGAGTTTCTATACTGCTGTTGTTATTGTTAGCTTTAGGGTGTTCATAGTTTTTGTTTGTGTTTTCTCTTACTTTAATTTCTTCCACGTAATGCCAGTCTGCAATGTCATCATCTTTTGAAAAAAAAGAGAAAAAAAAAGGAAAAGATGACTGAATAAGTAAGTAAGTTTTAATTAAAATTTAATAAAATTAATAAAATTTTACTTAAAATTAATAAAATCTAGTCGCATGACACGCGGTGTTTGATGATGCCTTTCAATCACACATATCTAATGACTTATATCAAGAAATGCCCTAGAATGTGCTTAAAGTTCCACTTGAATCCAAAAACCTTTACTGGAAAAGTTGATCAATTTATTGAGTCTGTAAATTTACAGAAAATTACTCAATTTACAGACAAAATGTGATTATATGAACTTTGCAAATTGATACTATACATTACGAGCAATTCAGTGATGAAGTTGTCATAGACGAAACGTTTGAAATTAAAGATCAAGGTAAAATTGTACCTTCAGAAGTCACAACTTTTCTAATTTGCAAATTGATTTTACAAGATATTTACAATTTTTTGATCAATCTACAAGATATTTACAGAATGCACATAAAATTTACAAACTTTGTAAAATGACATTTTGATTATAATTTGAATTTGCAGTATATTTRCATATTATTTACAAAATTTGTAAACTAATCAGATTTCCAGGTAACCTGAGTATCAGGCTCAGATCTTTGCGCRATTTTCTCACATATGAAAATAAATTAGCAATCTTTGAATCAAATCAACCAAGTACTTTTAAAGAAAGATCATTTGTAACTACAAAACAAGCGATCGCAAAGGCTCTTGGRCGCACATGGACCTTTARAAMYTATTCTCAAACCTTTGAGTGGAATGTTGATGGTCCCTTGAATAAGATTGACTACTTCACATTTTAACTTGCAAACTTCCATTTCTAATTCTCTAATCCTGTTAAAATAGAAAGAAACGATTATTAGAAAATTAAGTAACAATGCGCAAAAGAACTAAGGAACTCTCTATTGTTCTGCGGCATAGCAAGTTCCCCATGTACGAATGTCTTGGTTTTCACACTGATTATGTATTAACCTGTGGGTAACAGATTTTTGAAATAAAATGTGGATTCGGGGAGATACGGGAGATATAAACTTCGTGCGTTTTCATGCCTGCTTGGTTTCATGTTTTTTCAACACCCGCAGAAACCATCCTCGGGAACCCAGGCGAACGAACGACAAAAGATTAAGCCTGGGTTCCTGAGGATGCCACAGAAACCAGCGTTGCCAGCGATAGAGTTCRCACTTTTGCCGTACATAAATAATGTGCACGTGCAGCAATGCATGATGGTAGTTGTAGTCCTCGTACTTTTAATTTTAACGCACGTTTAAACAGTCCTTCTGAAATATGTTTGCCTTTTTTAAACCAAAATAGATGTGGTTTGCAATTTTTACAAAGAAAGTGTAAAATAGGCCTTCAAGGAGATATTCTAGGTTCTATAATTAGTGTGAGGACTACAACTACCATCATGACTTGCTGCTCAAAAGAGCGTCGCCACACAGGCCCCAACAGACCGCTGACAAACGGGGCTCTGGGCTCAACACAGCAACGTCTACTGATGAACTTACAGTTTTTGTTGCTGAAGTGTCATCACTCCATTGGTTAAATCAGCTTTTGGCTGGTCAATGCTTTCTTCTCTGAATGTTTCTTTTCCCTCTTCTTCGTCGTCTTGAGACGGAATCTGCMTCGCCAGCAAAACTAAAGCATCTTTTAGAGCTTTTTCAGCGTGTTGAGTGTTTGTTGTCTGCGTAAACGCATCTTGTTTACTGGTTTGAGGGGTTGGAATTGATAGGTCGGGTAAGGAATCATCAGTAACGATCCAGTCAAGAATTACTAGACTTGAAGTATCACAGGATTTATCCGAAAAACGTTTCGCCTAAAAAAAGGACAAAAATCAGTGTTTTTATTATGCAACAAAGACGCTTTGTAGACGTGACTGTACACATTTTCTGTCACGTAAACGCTCCATAAACACTGCGTATTTTGTCAACGTATAGGGATCTCCATTTACGCAAACGCTCCATGAGACTTGCGTATTGCTTTCAAAGTGTAGTTATCTCCCGTCACGTAAGCGCTCCATAAACTCTACGTATTGTTGTCAACGTTTACGCATCACGTAAGCGTCACGTAAACGCTCTATAAACTCTGCGTATAGTTGTCAACGTTTACGCATCACGTAAGCGTGACGTAAACGCTCCATATAAACTTTTTCGTCAACGTCTACGCATCTCTCATCATATAAACACTCCATAAATGGTACGCATTTTTGTTAACGTCTACGCATCTCCCGTAAACACGTTACACTGTTATTTTTACCAACGTTTGTTGAAAACGATGCCTTAAAAACAGATATGACCAGCGGAAACCGTTTCAACATTTGCTTCAATATTTGTTCGCTTTTATTTTAGGGCAATGTTGAACGCGTTTGCAAGGGCGTCAACATGTTTTAAAGGCGTTTGTCCACTCTACGGATAGTTTGTYGTCCCATATTGGATGACCTACAGAAAATGTTGGATGACCAACAAATAATGTTGGATGGCCCACTGAAAATGTTGGATAACGTTGGAAGATCTTTTTTTTTCCTCGCTTGTCCAAGACTCAAATCCTTTGTAAATCATTTTGTATGTAATTTTTTGTGTGTATGTCTACGATAAAAGGAAATAGTCAACGTTGATACAAACCTGCGGCATTGTCATTTCCATAGCGACTTCATTTGGACAACTTTGAGACCTCTTGGACTTCCTGTAGTGACTGTCTAGACTTTTACCTGGTGAAGGCTGTCTYAGACTGGAAAGTTCGCCAAAGCTTTCTTCTGTGGACAATGGACTGTACGACGGCCTTTTCAWGTGAAATCGTTCTAAAACTAAACATAAAATCATACATATATAAATACAGACTTTTCAAGAAGGTTGATACTGCAAGGTTGATACTGCAAGAGCGATAGGCAATACACAACGGTGTCGTCATTTTCTAGAGCAATGCATGATGGGAAATGCAGTCTTTGCGCATTTTGTCCGTCTTTAATATATATAAAATCTGGTTTTGCGTTTTGAGGGTTTTTTTTCCATTTTTGTAAACAGGGCTCGAAATAACGGCCGGTCAAAGGACAATGTCCTTCCAAATTCGCTAGATGACCGGCCAAATCGGGTTTTGAAAGGACAAATTGATTCACCTGCCACATTTGGACAAATCAATTCTCAATTCGCTAAATAAATCTTTTACAAGTCATTAAAATGCTTGCCGATCTTTCTGAATACAAAAACCTATAAATTAAAAAAATGATAGTATAATAAAGTTTTTGTCCTTTCAAAACTTGACATGACCTTCCAAAAATGAATTTGGAAGGACATCTTGTCCTGCATATGTCTGGCCGTTATTTCGAGCCCTGGTAAAGAAAMCACAAACGTTAAACTGGTTGTCTGRTCTCCCTGTATTTTGGCRACGCAAAACAATAAATGAGGACTTAACAAAYCCTTGGTGTGACCAGCCTMARTGACTTGCTCACTCTAAAACTTTCGGTCATCGGGTRCACTTTCAGTTGGAGCCTAGCTCTTGAGCTTTCCTCTATYTTAGGAGCAATTTCAGCGGATAAAAAGGGGAAAATATTTCATTCAATATCCACCTGGGTTGGTGTCTTCTGATGCTGACCGCGTAAGCTTCTTTTTGCGTCGTAAGCTATTGCGTACCTAAACGAAAATTTATACAAATATATGATATGATGAGCGCCGGAATCAACAAAAGGACGGAACGACGCGCTCCAATAATTGAGGCAAAGGGAAAGGAATGGGAAAAGGGAAGTGGAAGAAAGGGAAAAAGAGAATGAAAGRTGATAAATCATTCACAAGAATGATGCTATGTGATTGGATGAACGCCCGAGACAACAGAAGGACAGAAAGACGATTGAATCCACGAGCCAACAAATGTGAGAAACGGAAAGGAAAKTGGACTAAATCGAMTGGRGAAAATGGAATGGAGATGACKGAATATATGCCCAAACCAAAAAACAATGACTAAGATTTGATTTTCTTTCGTAATATGSTTTGCTAATCTTACCCGACTCATAAATCCACCCTGTGTTCCTCGTTGTAAAGGTTGTGCAGTCTTGTCTTCTAAGTTTGTTTTGTTCTAAAGTAAAATAACGAAGAAAACAAATATACCTCATAAAACGAAACAATTTTAAAGCGGCCTCGGCCAAATGCCCATTGATTTGCAAACRGATACTTAGGTTGTACTACAGTACATTCAATAAAACCATCATGTTATTCACCTTTAAATTAACCAACCAATCGGTGATACTTTCATCTTTTCCAGGAAATAAGAGGTATTCTTTTTCATCATCACTGAGGTTAGGAATTACATACTGTTAGTTTAAACATAATTAATAGAGGGGAATGGTTTGGAAACCTTTTGTTGTACTTCTTTTGTACATCTTTTGTACGTATTTTGAGGTTGTCAAGACCGTGCACAACGTTTTTCTTACGGATGATGGAAATTGAAAAACACTCAATGTTATGAAATGAAATATTTCAAAATTAGTTAAATTTTTTTGTTCATTTTGAAAAAATAGTCAAAAGAATAATTTTTGCACTGTACATTCAGATGTGACCAGTTTGGCTAAAACAAAAGTCCAACAAAAGATTGTGCATGGTCACGCTTGAAAAAAAGTGCACAAAAACCTACAACAAAAGGTAACTATCTGACCATTTCCCTCTATGGTCTAAATCACTACTATTAACATACAATCAGGTACAAGCTCTACCATATAATGCTTGTATTATAAAAAAAATACCTTGTCAGGACAACAAAAACTTCTAGTTTTCCAGATGAGATACCAATATTTCTAAGAAAAACAATAATAATTATAATTACTGGTTTACATATTATTATCTAGAGTTAATATAATTCAGATGCTTGAATTGTGTTTTACTTTTGAGGTTAAATAATAGGGTAAGAGTTTGGGATCCAATTTCAAAATCAAAATTTGAAGCTAAAATTATGAAGAGGTTTTCTTTTCTTTAACGCAAGGTTGACAAGACAAATAAGTCAATACCAAAAGATGCCTTAAGGCCGATTTAGACTGTACAACTTTTTCCTACAACTATCGCATGCAACACGCGTAAGTCATCCTTACAACATGGCTACAACTGTCGTGGGGCTATTAAGCAATTGTTTGAAACCCCTACGCAGTTGTAGCCATGGTTGTAGGCAAAAGTTGTGCCGTCTAAATTGGCCTTTACGGTTCACTGTGTGCCTGGAATTGTAACGTGATTAAGAATTCACAAGGAGAAGACCTTCAAGGCTATACTTAGCTTACAACTCTTCCTAAACTTATTACACCAACAACAGATGCTGACCTCATTMTACCACAGGTAGCCCATTAAGTAACACACACAAAACATTAGTGATAGTCAATGGATAATATGTCTTTGA